ACAAATGTAAACGTTGTAATGATTACATTCACAGCTTTAGTATGTCTCTTCCTTTTGACATTATTTTTTTCTTCCATCTTTGAGAACCCCTCTTTATGCCAGCTATACTTAAATTATTATGCCACCAAAACCCTTTTGTCTTATGATTATAACCAAATCTTACTTTGTAGTTTGATTTTTGAGGTGACACCATTGAATATTTGTTTTTATGGTTTAAAAATATCATTTAATGACATTCCAAGTAGTGTATTATGATGACTTACTTTTTTGTTTTTAACAGGTCTAATGTCAAATGCTCTGTACCTTCCTAAGTACAGTCTCTGGTGTCAATATCATTTGCATTTATTTATATTCCTTGGAGCCCTTCATTCTGCTCTTGTAATTAGGATGGCTTTCCCTCTAAGCCTCTTACATCTAGCTCTCAACCATGGACTTTGCATCACTCTTCTCCTGTGTTGGAGCCTCTGTTTCTTAGATACAGGTCTTTTTCTTGATTGAATCTCATTTTGCTGGGCTACATCCTTGATTTAACTCTCATGACACTTTTCTCAAGCTGTTATTACGCATTGTGGCTCTGATAATGTGCTTAATTTTCTTTCAAACTTGATTGCTAGATTGGCTAGGTTGGAAACTCTAGATTGGAATATTTATGCAAGATGTTGCCTTCTGCATTCACTGTTGCTGATAAGATGATAGTAGTTCTCCTTTCTTTATGACTTTTTTTTTTTTTTAACGTTTTAGCCTTTTTATCTTTGGCATTTTGAAGAGATGTGTAAGTGTGAATTTTCTGATCCATTGTACTGGATCTTTAGTAGACCCTTTCAACTGGAAGACTTGTGTCCTTATAAAGCTTTGGGAAATTAACTTCTGTTACTCCTTTGCTAATTTCCTTTCCTCTCCTCTCCTTTTGGAATTCCTGTTAGTTGAATGTTAAAAACAATGGATATAAGTTAAAATAATGATAAGTTATGGAAAAAAGTCTGAGGGATGCTTGTAGCAGTGCTAAATCCCCGTCTTTCACATCAGGCAGGTGATAGTATCTAAAATGGAAAAATAACTCCTTGAGCATAAGCGTATTATTTAGGATAAAAGTAAATACTAGAAGATACAGAAGAGTTTAAAATGGTTACCTCAGGGGATTAGAAATCAGTAGTGACTGAGGTATGGCAAAGAAGACTTAAATCTTGCAGTACCATTAACTTTTAAAACTATGTATATATATTAAATAAAATAATTTAAAAGTGATTTAACGTAATCCCTAAGGTGTGCATTTAGTGATACCTTCATTCTTTAAAAATCTCCTCAGGACATTTATGTAGATGTGTTCTTAGACCAGCTATTCACTCTCAGCCTTCATGAAAGGATGTACACATTATTCCTATGTCACAATTCTTAATTATTGAGCTGTGTATTTTGAGAATAATTAACAGAGAATGTACTGGAGATTTACATGGCCTGTTATTGGTTGTTTCGTTGTTGTGGTGGTTGTTTTTGAGATGGAGTCTTGTTCTTGTTGCCCAGGCTGGCGTGCAATGGCATAATCTCGGCTGACCCCAACCTCCACTTCCCGAGTTCGAACGATTCTCCTGCCTCAGCTTCCTGAGTAGCTTGGATTACAGGCATGTGCCACTATGCTTGGCAAATTTTGTATTTTTTTAGTAGAGATGGGGTTTCTCCATGTTGGTCAGGCTGATCTCGAACAACTGACCTCAGGTGATCTGCCCATCTTGGCCTCTCAAGAGTGCTGGGATTACAGGCGTGAGCCACCATGCCCGGCTGATTGGTTGGTTTTAAAGCTTAAAGGATACAGGAGTATATTTTTGTCTAATTCAAGATCATTTGAATTTATGACTTTATTAGCTTTAAATAAATCTACAATGGCTTTTTTCAAAAATAGGGTTTTTCTTAGAAAACAGTTTGTGAGATAAATTTGTTTAAATAAAACCCCACTCTTTGAAAATAAAATTAGAAGTATGGTTTTCAAATAATCTTATGTTATTGAAACAAAATTTTATTTACTGTATATACGTATGTATAGTATAGATGAGTGACAAGTAGTGAATTGCTAATCGGCATCTTAGCACTTAACAATAAGTGTTTTGAGTTGCATGGTTTGAGAAAGTACTGGTTCAAATACTGTTAAAAATCAAATTTTTGTATGCTGTCTCTAGATGGTTTGATGACCTAGTAGTTGTGTTAGTTGAAGAAGTGGAGTTGCATGGAAGTCACTCAGATGTTTTGCTTGTGTGTTTGGTGGAACGTTTTTAGTATGTGCCTCAATAGATATGTGGAATGCTACTACTTAGGGATTGACAGTTGGAACCCAGAAGTGAGAATGTGAACAAATAAACTGAAAGGTTACAAAATAACTTTAATCATTTCACAATTCTGAACCACCACAAAAATAATAAAGTACCATGAGGTGTTTTATATTTATGGTTTAGATTATCCCCATTTTGCCAGGGCAGTTTGGAATTTTAAGTTACCTGCCAAGAACCCTTTTAGTTTGTATCCTTTTTATCAATAGGGCTATTTTGTCCCCTCGAGGAATAGCCAGTTAAGAAACTGCAACCCATGCAAATCTTACCTGATGAATGGGATTTCAGGTAATGGGAAAAGTTTAAAAACTAGGGTGTTATATGTTGGTAGTGACTTGCCTGTCGATGCTGAGTCATAGACTGCTATTTAAAGTCTTGAGTTTGTTTTTCTGATATAAAATTGAAAAATACCTTACCTACTGCTTCTATTGTTATCATAAATATATCCCTTCCATTATCCCTTCCTCCTTTGGTTTGTAGTTGAATTTTTATGGAAGAAATCAAATGATTATACATAGCGATAATATCCTTTCTTCTGTTTATAGAAACATTGTATTAAATGCTGATTAAACTCTTGATGTTTTCTAGAGGTGAAATCTTTATATTTGGGATGGTGTAGAAGGAAGTAATTTCCCTCATGAAATAAATGTGCAAAGAACAGCAAAGCCCAGATGTGTTATTGGTTAGGCGCATTTATTAACAAGTTTGGATGCATCAGGATTACATTTGTAAATCAAATGCATACCCCTGCAAAATTTCAAATTGTCATGTATTTACAGGATAGCCAACAGTTAATTGAAACTTGCTGTCATTAAATTTTGCTTTAAATAATCTCCAAGAGTAGTGAGTGGCTGGGCACTCACTCATGCATGTAATCCCAGCACTTTGGGAGGCCAAGCCAGGCTGATTGCTTCAGCCCAAGAGTTTCAGACCAGCCTTGGCAACATGGCAAAACCCTGTCTCTACAAAAAAATGCAAAAACTAACCTGGCATTGTGGTGCATGCCTGTAGTCCCTGCTACTTGGGAGGCTGAAGTTGGAGGATTGCTTGAGCCTGGGGGGCAGAAGTTTCAGTGAGCCAAGATCTCACCACTATACTCCAGCCTGGGTGACAGAGCCAGATCCTGTCTCAAAATAAAAACAAAAAAATTAGTGAGTGATATAAGTATGATATTCCTGCTGAAGTAATCTGGGAAGCATCTGCAAGGGGGAGTTTTCCCAAGAATATTACCCTCAACATTTTTACCTTTTCTTTTACCTTTCTTCTACTGAAGGTAGCTTAAAAGTAAATATCCAAAACTAGAAAGTTTGATTATTAGTGTTTAGTTGTAAATTCTTTTAAAATGCACATTTCTTTTAAGTCATCTAGAGATTGTGTGGATTGTCTCCCTCAGCCCCACTAAGTGCTTCTCTGTCTTAGGTGGTCTAGAAGGCCAAAAACGGTTTATCCAACTATTTTGCCTTTAGGGTTCTAGATATAAAATAGTTGATGACAATTAGACTATATGGGAGATTTGAAGGGAGTTTCTTCGTTTTTCTGGTCTGGGTCATGAAGAAGTGAGATTTTGCCAATAGTAGCAAAACTGCAGCATAGCATTATTTATTCTCCAGCATCTTGAGTTATCAAGAGGCTTTTGTGGCTAAGGCAGTAGCTAGACTGTTTTATCGTGTACATCCCGTAGCTTCTGGGGTATTTAGAGGCAATTGTGACAGCTTCCTGATTCATGTTTTCCAATCCTTGGATCACAGTTATTTGCCATATGTGCTTGGATTTAGTGGTTCCATTGGTAGCTTCTTGTGATTTCAGTTCTGTAGTATTCTGGTAGTCACTCCTGGGGACATATCCCTAGCCCTTCCTCCATTCTTTTCCATAATTAAGCACCTGAGTCTTTTTAACTTGCCCTTTTCTCAAAATATCTAGTGGTTTCTATTCCCTCCACCAAATCCTGATTGACCAAAGTCAAGAGCATCATTTGATGACAAAATGCTACTCTTTGGTTTTGTAGATGGTACTGTATGTGATGCATGATTTTTCTTGACCCTTTCTTTGGACTTGTGTTGGGGTACCCCATTTACTTGGCCCGCAGCACTCAACCTCTTGCAGGAGGGAGCACGTGAACAAGTAAGTGCAGGATCTGGCAGGCTGCTTTGGATGCTGACAGGAGCAAGTTTCATGCGGGCCCCATGATGGCACCCAGGTTGCAGTGCCTGTGACCCCTGAAGCCCCAGAGGGTGTTTTACAGTGCTCCCTTAGCTCCACCATCTCTGGACAGCGGTGTGTTACCAGCTCAGTGGGCCCCTTGCCTTGTCGTGTAGGGCGGCTGCCCTCTACTAGTGAGGGCAGAGAGCCAGTGTGACAGCTTCCCCCCGCTCTGCAAGATGGAGGTTCACCCTTGTTATTTAAGCTAGAGTGCAGTGGCTCGATCTCAGCTCACTGCAGCCTCCACCTCCTGGGTTCAGGAGATTCTCCTGCCTCAGCCTCCTGAATAGCTGGGATTACAGGCACCTGCCACCATGCCCAGCTAATTTTTGTATTTTTAGTAGAGACAGGGTTTTGCCATGTTGGCTAGGCTAGTCTTCAACTCTTGACCTCAGGTGGCTCCACCTCCCATGGCCTCCCAAAGTGTTGGATTACAGGCGTGAGCCACTGTGCCCGGCTAGACAGCCTTTTTTGGGTACCCACACTCAGTGGGTCCCAAGCTCTTTCTTGTCCGGCATTCAGGAAGAATGAGGTCATGCCGGACAGTTGAAGGATGGTGGAGGCGGAGAATTTTCTTTAGCGATGAAAATGGCTCTCAGCAAAGAAGGGAGCTAGAGAAGGGGCAGGATGGGCAAATAATCTTCCCTGATGTCAAGGCAACCCTCTGAAGTCCAGGCACCTTTCTCCAGTCAAGTTGCTTCTTTCCCTCTACTGACTGAGTCTGGGATCTTTATCCACACAGGATGAGGGGTGGGATGGGCTGTCAGTAGTTTTGGAAAAGGCAACATTCAATTGGTAAAAAGACATTATTCAGAAAGAACAAATTGGGAGAGAATTGGTGAACAAGCATAGAAGTTCTCACTTTGGGCCACAGTTCAGGTTTTTTGGTTTGAAGTTGGGGTTTCACTGGGTACCTGCCCTTGTCTGCCTAGAATGTCTCTGCCTTCTGCCTCTGTCACTGAACTTCAGATATATGAAGAGGTTATTCTATGTTATGTCATTGACTGAGCATTAATTATATTGACCCTTTTAGTGACTAAGTATAAAGCTCTCAACAAACTTATATACCTTTAAAAAGAAGAAAAACTATACCTGAATTACACGTAATAATTTCTTAGAAGGCATCAAGTTTTTAATCAAATCTGAGGAGCATTTGGAAATGAAACCATTTACAGTTGCAGTTTAACCAACTGTAAATGGTTTCATTTCCAGTTGTGGATATGAAAATTCTTATACTTCTCTACAGGAGCATTACTTCCTGTAGCTTTTATCTGTGCTCCTCAAACTTTAATATGCATACATATCACCTTGGAAACACTTGAGTTCTCTTTGAAATGAGGATTCAGTAGATGTCAGTTGGAACTTAGGATTCTACATTTCTAACAAACTCCGGTGATTGTGATTTTGTGAACCACACTTTGAGTAGCAAAGCCTATAGTGTTTATAGTTATAAATAAAAATAATTTAAATTTCTATTTATGTGAACTTTCTTTTTGAATATTAATATGTCATAGAAATTTACTTTTTTTTTTTTTTTTTTTTTTGAGACAGAGTCTTGCTCTGTTGCCCAGGCTGGAATGCAGTGGCACCATCTTGGCTCACTGGGTTCAAGTAATTCTGCCTCAGCCTCCAGAGTGGCTGGGATTACACGTGTGCACCACCACGCTTGGCTAATTTTTGTATTTTTAGTAGAGATGGGATTTCACCATGTTGGTCAGGCTGGTCTCGAACTCCTAACCTTGTGATCTGCCCAACTCGGCCTCCCAAAGTGCTGGAATTACAGGCGTGAGCAACCATGCCCGGCCTCAGAAATTTGCCTTTTAACCCAAAAATGGAATATTCTAACACTGCTCAGTAGCTTACTTTTTTTTCGCTCAGTAATATCTTTCTCATGAATAACCTTCCGTGGCAGTGCATACAGATCAGTTTAATTTGAATGTCTGCATAATATTTCAAGTATGAATATAGCATAATTTATAGGCAGACTCCTTTTGAAAAAAATGTAGAAATGGGAAAATGCTTTCTCAAATAATGTGGATATGAAAATTCTTATACTTCTCTACTTGGTATTTCTTTTGAGTAGGCTCCTAGAATGGGGAATTCTAGGTCCTTGTTCATGTGCATTTTAAGTTTTCTGCCACACTTCGAATATATCAGGTTTTGTTTTTGTTTTGTTTTGTTTTTATTGTTCCTTTGAGACAGGAACTTGCTTTGTTGCCCAGAGCTGGAATGCAATGTTGTGATCTCAGCTCATGGCAGCCTCTGCCTCCTAGGTTCAAGCAATTCTCCTGCCTTACCCTCCCGAGTAGCTGGGATTACAGGCAGACGCCACCATGCCTGGCTAATTTTTGTATTTTCAATAGAAGACAGGGTTTCACCATGTTAGCCAAGCTTGTCTCGAACTCCTGACCTCATGATCCGCCTGCCTTAGCAGGGATTACAGGCATGAGCTACTGCGCCCAGCTCATAGACAGTATCAGTTTTTAAGAACTTAGTCATTGTGGAAGATTTGAAGCATTCATTGTAATAAGGAGATTAGATGTTTTCTTGTGTTTTTCAGCCAAGTGTAATTTACAAATTGATGAAGTGTCAATTTTTGTTGGATTATTTTCTTTATGGATGAGTATGCTTGCTTATTTAATTTTGTTGTACAGTTTATAAATATTTTTTAGAATACAGATGTTTTTGTACTTTGTGGCGTTTGCATTTCTAATATTGTTTAAGAAGTATTAAAAATACTCTTTAAATTTTGAACCATAAGCAGCTCATTTGAGGAGCTTGTAGATTTGATGAAAACATGAGCCCATTCTTCTGTAGGAAAATCTTAAAACTAAGTTTTAAGGTAGTGCCTCTAACCTATTTAATTGTCTTTCAGATCAAATTCTGAAATAATAAAAAGGTGGGTCTCTGTATGCAAACTGGAATTAATTTTTTTTTTTTAACTTAGCTTTATCTTAAAATAAGAAAGTTGTCTCTGGAGATTTTTGAAAAAGTAGTTGCCTCCCGCTCTGCCAAATAAAGGAATGCCATTCAGCAGTTTGGTTGTGAATTGACTGATTGAGACAAGTTCCTCTCTCTCACCCAGGCTGGAGTGCAGTGACACAGTCTCAGCTCACTGCAACCTCTGATTCCTGGGTTCAAGTGTTTCTCTTGCCTCATCTTCCCAAGTAGCTGGGATTACAGGCGCGTGCCACCACGCCCAGCTAATATTTGTATATTTTTATTAGAGACGAGATTTTGCCATGTTGGCCAGGCTGGTCTCGAACTCTGACCTCAAGTGATCCACCTGCGTTGGCCTCCCAAAGTGCTGGGATTACCGATGTGAGCCACCAAGCCTGGCTTTGATTGTCATTCTACCTGGAGAGTTTGTCACACTCTTGAATGTGGGCCTGTCTGCCCACATGTGTGCATCCACATTATGGTTCTCCTCCTTGACTGCTTATTGGAATCTCTTGGGAGCTTTTGAAAATGGTAATGCCCAGGTCTCCCCCTCAGCCCTCTTCCTCACCCCCAATAATCTGATGTGTTTGGTCTGGGGTGTAGCTTGTTTAAAAGCTTCTTAGATGGCTGTGCACAGTGGCTCATGCCCTATAATCTCAGTGATTGGGAGGCTGAGGCTGGAGGATTGCTTTAGCCCAGGAATTTGAGACCAGCCTGGGCAACATAGCAAGATTCTGTCTCTAAAAATGAATGAATGGATGGCTGGATGGATGAATGAACGAAGAAATATAGCAAGATCATGTCTCTAAAAATGAATGAATGAATAAATAACAATCAATTAAAAGCTTTCTAGTTGATTCTTAATGTGCTACTAAAATTGAGAACCATTTGATCAAAGGAATAGGGTATGATGGTGCAATTGATGTTAAAGCTTTATCTGGGACATTTGACCTGATCGGAGTCACTAGTAAACTTTTTTAAAATGCAAAACTTTAAAGCAGATACAGCTGCTGTGAGCCTGGAATGTCATTTTCTTCAGATTATTAAAATACTAGACTGCCACATTCATGGGAGTTCTACAGATGTACTTTTTCAGAGCCTCCATAATGGGAAATTGTTTAGAGCAGTAGTTCCCAGTTCTGGCTACATGTCAGGATCATCTGGGGACCTTCAGATAAAAATGTTGAATGAAAATATATATACTCATACTCATATTCTACCCCTGACAGTTGAATCAGAATTGCTGGGGGTGAAGCCCAATTAGTGATATTCGAGAGATTCTAATATGTAGCCAGAATGGATGGGGGCAGGGAGTGCTGATTTAGAGTTATAACTAGACAAGATGTAAGGTTTAGGTTGCCTTATGGTCCTAAAAGTTAAATGTACTGCTGCTAGTATTAGTACTACTTTTCTGATTCTAGTGATTTTACTCAAACTGTTTTTGTTTGGTTTGTTTATATCCTCTAAAAAGGATGAAGAGCTCTTTATTTCAGCCAAGAGCTTGAATTGGCTTTTCACTAAACTATCAGTTCTCGTGGCACACAGAAGTGAATTTCTCTGCTTTGACAAGTCCTGGTAGGGATGGTGCTATAATCATACATTAAATAATTTCTCCATATATTCAAATCCCATTAGACTATTTTATCTTGGACCAAGTCACTTAACCTTTGTAACCTCATCTGCAAAATGTAAATCATATGTACCTTGCATAAAATACTGATGTGAGGATTAAATGAAATAATGTGTATAAAATACCTAGCATTGTTTCTGGCGCTACATAATTTCAAATCTGTGTTCTCCTGTTCAACTTCCCTTTTATTCTCATTGTTCTTTTTTGATAAAGAGTCTCTTTCTGTCGCCCAGGCTGGAGTCCAGTGACTTGATCTCAGCTCACTGAAACCTCTGCCTCCTGGCCTCCTGCTTTATCAAGCAATTCTCCTGCCTCAGCCTTCCGAGTAGCTGGGACTGCAGGCACACACCACCATGCCCAGCTAATTTTTGTGTTTTTAGTAGAGACGGGGTTTTACCATATTGGTCAGGCTGGTCTCAAACTCCTGACCTCAGGTGATCCACCCGCCTTGGCCTCCCAAAGTGCTGCGATTACAGGCGGGAACCACTGTGCCTGCCCCCCACCTCCCCCCCTTTTTTTTTTGAGACTGAGTCTTGCTCTGTTGCCCAGGCTAGAGCATTGGCCTTATTTCTGCTCACTGCAACCTCCACCTCCTGAGTTCAGGTGATTCTCATGCCTTAGCCTCTCAAGTAGCTGGGATTACAGGCATGCGTCACCACTCTGGCTAACTTTTATATGTTTAGTAGAGCTGAGGTTTCACCATGTTGGTCAGTCTGGTCTTGAACTCCTGATCTCAAGTGGTCATTTGTCTCAACCTCCCAAAGCGTTGGAATTACAGGAGTGAGCCACTGTGCCCAGCACTTTTTTTTTTTTTAAAGAGAGATGGGGCCTCACTCTGCTGCCTAGGCTAGAATGCAGTGACTATTCAGATGGGATCTTAGCACACTGCATCTTTGAATTCCTTAGCTTAAGTGATCCTCCTGCCTCAGCCTCCTGAGTAGCTGGACTACAGACTTGTCCCACCTCT